TTCGGGACGATATCGAAAATGCACAAAAAATCGCAAAAAAAGTCGAAGGATCGTCGTTACTGGGGCTATACCAGTAACACAAGAGTTTTTAGGAGTAACTATAACAATCAAAACTGATTGTTATTGTATTTTAAAAAAGGTTGGATCAATTTATAAGGGTCCGGTACGTTTTATTTCGTTTATTTGGCTTTTTAATGTATCGCGCAGCGATTATATAAGTGCCGCATAGCGACAATAGGGGACATGAGCTCCGCACGATGTTATCTGCACTGTACGACTGTGTGCTCTGTACAGTCAGTCGCTCACTGGAGCTTGCCTCGGCAATACACCACATTCCATTTTTGCAATTTACCGTTCAGTAAATCATACAACGGTTTCAATTTCGTTGACCGATTTTCTAAAAAACGCGCGTAAAAATTTACGAGTCCCAAAAACAAAGACAATTCTTTTGTGTTACTCGGCCGTGGCGCGTCGACCATCGCTTGTACTTTTGACTTAGATTTGTGAAGTCCGGTAGCATCTATTACATATCCAAGCACTTCAAGTCTTGGTATCATAAAGTGACATTTTTTTAGATTTAAGCGCAAGTTACATTCCGCCAATTTCTCGCATACCATTTCGAGGTTTCTTATTGTGCTCTGCTTCGGTCTTGCCGGTAACATAAATATTGTCAAGATACGCGATCGCTCCGTCCACACCTAATAAGCACTCGTCCATCTTACGCTGTACGTCGGCCGGTGCCGGAGATACACCTTCGGGTATTTTAGTGTATTTGTATAGCCCTTTATGTGTGACGATCGTTAGTAAGTTCGATGATTCCTCGTCCACTGGAAATTGCATGTACGAATGCTTGAGATCAAGCTCCGAAAAATGTACACCGCCTTGAAGCTTAGCAAAAATATCGTCAATTGAGTGGAGTGGGTACTTGTCTATTATTATGTTCGGATTTAATGTTAGCTTAAAGTCGCCACATATACGAATTTCGCCGTTTCCTTTTAGTACCGGAACGATAGGTGTAGCCCACTCGGAAATTTGTACCGGCTTCAAGTGCTTTAAACTAATGAGTTTTTCTATTTCTTTTTCTACTAATGGCTTTAGTGCAAGAGCTACATGTCTGCATTTTAATGCTATCGGGCGTACATCATCGCGCATGTGTATTTTAGTTAGGCTTTTATTGTACATTCCCGGGGAATCATCGAACAGTACTTTGTATTTATTTCTTATATAATCACATAAGTTTTCACGCGGTACAATTTCTTTGATTGAGTGTACTTCGGGTAAGATTAACGGCCATACACCAAATTGCGTTAACCATTGACGACCGACCAGTGCCGGTCCGGGACCTGGCATTACATAACATGAGGCGCTTATAGTTTTATTTTTAAATACCGCGGTTAGATTGCAGAGCTCACCGATCGGCGTCAATGGGTGACCATC